CCTGCCTGCCAGTTCTTAATCTCAGGATGGAAGCAAACCAGTCATTTTAAACCAGACACTTCTAAGTCTAGGTAGTCCCGTGTCTCCAAGAAATGTTCTCTAGTCTCAAATTGTATTTCACTCCTCTCTCACCAAAACTCCTTGATAATGTAGTCATGTAGTCATGGAAAATGCCACAGCATGGACATGTCCCTCGAGAGCAATCCACAAGTCAGGACCAAAAGAGTCTTGCTTCAGTCCACGAGGTCTTGGGGGGAGGGGCTGCCCCACCCTGGGAACCGCCCTCCTCCAAGACAGGCATGGAGATTAGATGAGTGCCCGCTGGACAAAATCCAGAATTTGGCACCCATCTCCTAAATCTTCTGCCCTAGGGTTTAGGACAGGCAAGACATGCATGAGTGGGATAGATTACCCCCAGTCTACAGCTTCCATGCCATTTCCAGGAAGCCCTCCCAGATGAACCCCACCTAACTATACCAGAGGAGCCCCCTTGCCCTCCTTCAACTCACAGCTAGACCTAACTGGTCTAGGAAGGACCACCTCCCTTTAAATGAAATGAACCTGGTGGATTTATGATCTGGCAAAGGGAAGGAACTGCGCATTCCTCCTTGGTTACCATACCCCCCTCTCCCATCTGGAATTTAGTCCCTGAACCCCTTGGAGAATCACATTCACAACCCTGTGCGCGCTTCCAGGTTTTGGGAACCGGAAAAACGAAGAGAAGGCTGAGGAAGGGGACTGGATTAGACCTAAGGATAAATTGAGGGCTGGGGGAGACCAGCGGTGACCTCTCAAGGTCTATTGGTAACAGCCGGCCCTTCCCCCGCCCGCAGGTGGGCGCGCCTAGCCATGTGACGTCACCCCAACCTGCGGCCGGGGGAGGGGCTGGCGGAGAGGAGGGTGAGGGGCGATGGGCAGGGGGCTGGTGAGGGTGGGAGACAGGGATGTTAGGAAGATGGGGTACTGGGAAGGGGCTTGCTTAGGGGCCACTCACCCAGGACACGACCCTCAACAAGGTCTGGGGACGCCGCGCGAAGCTCACGGGATCCAAGGCAGCTCCCGCACGGCCCGCGCCGAAGGAGGC